TTCTTTTTTCTGCCATGCCGATTGCGATAAGGAAGTCGAAATTTCTAATTGAATGAAACTAAATTGACAAGGAATGGTCGATTTAGAGGAAGAAGCCGGACTTGTTGATGAACCGATGACAGGTGTCTCTCATTAATATGCGCTGATGCATCTTTCGATGGTTCGCAAGTATTTGGAAGAGAATCTTACAGAGTATAATTCATATTATGATATCGAAGACATGATCGAAAAAGTATAATCACGAGTTTCTTTAAGCAAATTTATGTGTGTATGTACCACTTAATAAATGTTGACAAGAACCAATTTTTGTACTGTTTTACATATAGTTTGGATAAAGGAGCGGACTCGACTCTAACAAAAATCTACAAGAAATGGTTAATATATTCCAATCTACACATCTAAAATCAAAACTTTATTATTCACTTAAAAGATCTTGTTAATTCGATAAATTAATTGATGACACCGACATTTTTTTCTTAATATTTCTTATTATCTCATTTGTTTTGAATATATAAAATAAATTAAATTCACAATAATTGTATGTTATATGTTAAATTCATTTCAAAATATTAACGAAGTGAAATATGTGAAGAGAATATTGTCTATTAAGAGAAAGGTATGAATGAATAGGATGTAGATAGAACCTTTGCGTCATGTGACCTTTCGTTTTTCGGGTCGAAAAATAAATTTTTCGTTGCATGATAATGAAGAATCTCTGAAATGGGTCATTGCATAATTCTGAAAGGTACAGTCCTATTAAGTTGTTTTTCGATTGATTATTTTATATAGAGCGGAAGCACCTTTTGTATACCTTATGACATGTATTCTTAATTTTCACGCATTCAATGCATGATAGATATATGGCAGTGCGTGCTGATTTTTTATTATGTCATCATAATAATTTCATCATTTCCTTCTTCATAAAATTAATAAAACGAATTTTACCAAATAAACTTTAATCAAACTTGTATATATATGGGTTAGATCCATGATCTCTCTATTCAAAAAAAAATGTAAGTTAAACATAGATTTGTTATTCTTAGATATTTATTTTCCTTTAATTATTATGTCTATCAGAAGGATACAAAAGTAGAATTTTAGTTTCTTTAAGAAATGTATCTATATGAAACTTTCACAAAGTAATTGAATAAAGTTTTTATTAAATGTTTGAAATCTTTTTATGCGTAAAACATCCATATGTTGTTTCTGCTTCTTTAGTAAGGTTAGTTATGAAATTATATATCGAATTTATTTGTTCTTTAGCAAGGTGTACCTGTTAAATGTGAGAAGTCAAGTTATTGATAAGGTGACTCATGTTGACGTCAGATTCTATAAAAAGCTTTGATGAGAAAAGAAAAGTTAATTCGTTCTTGGAGATACTTACTATTGAAAAGGAATTACTTAATTCCAACCCCTCAGCTTTGATTCTTTATTTGTTGGAATTTTCCAGCAACTTATCGCGTAAATATAGTTGATGAAATCACTTTATCATAGTCAATACAATATTTTTTTATTTTCATATACTCCAATAAAAACATTTTACACAATATCAATAATAATGCAAATGCAGATCTTTTATATTCTACAAGTGGTATGTTTATTACAAAGCCAGTGGATTATTAATGCATATCCTACTGATGCAACTAAATTAAAAAATATTCAAGAAATCCATTGTCCTCAAAAGAAAACCGATTCTGATATTTTTGTAAAATTATTTCCAGGCATTCAACTTAATGCAAGACCATGTAACCGTTCGATCACATGTGCATCACTGAATACGAATTATAGAATTGATTCTTTAGAAATTATTAATCAAACAACTTGCATTCCATCGGTTATTTTTTGTTTTCAAGATTTAGAGAAATTAATTATAGAAAATGCATATTTTTGTGATTCAAAACAACAAATCGATGGTGAGATGGAATATTTCCCAGAACAGATTATAAAATTACAGAAACTTAGAACATTACAAATATCTCATGTTAATCGTATGTCTATTTCTAATATCATTGGGAAGCTAACCTCTTTAAAAGATTTAACAATATCTCATGTTAAGTATATGTCTATTCCTAATATGATTGGGCATCTACCCTCTTTAACATATTTATCAATATCTCATGTCAATCTTATGTCTATTTCTAATATAATTGGGAATCTACTCTCTTTACAACATTTATCAATATTCAATACCAATTTAGAAGAATTACCAAAAACTATATCAAATCTTAAATCTTTAAAAAAATTAATGTTACAAAACAATTCATATCTTCACTCTATAAAAGAAATTGATGGCCTACCTGTTCTTCATACCTTAGATGTACGACATTGTTCAATTCAAGATCTTCCTCGTAATTTACCAAAATTATTGAATTTATATATGCCTTACAATAGTCTAACAACTCTTGGTTCTGATATTAGAACATTAAGTAATAAAGAAAATAAAGAACAAAATTTTCAATTTGATAACAATCGTATTACATCAATCACACCAGAAATTCGACATCTTCATACTCTTTCTCGACTCCATCTTGATCACAATCAATTACATACCCTTCCCAAAGATATTTTCGATATGACGAAGTTAACTTATTTAAATTTACAAAATAATCGTTTTAGTCCACATCGAATACACGACTACAGAAACGAATTCAACAAAAGAAATTCAAAGTTAAAGGTATATTTTGATTAGAATCAATTCAATATTTATAATCTTAGTTAAATTATTCCATTATTTATAATGCTAATTGTCTGATAATTTTTCTCATCTCATTAATTAATCAATCTTTTATTTTTTTATGCCTTTTTTTCTATAGACTGTAAAGTCAAAATATTTTCCAAAATATGACTTTGAAATAAAAATGATATTTGAAGAATGTATTGAATTATGTTTTATTTGTAATTAAAATAACAAAATCGAAATTCGTACTATTTACATTTATACTTCATAAAAAAAATAAAATAGACTAATGATTCTACTGACTCAATTTTTCTTTTATGATGAAACTGATATGCTATCGTGTTTTTATTATATATATATTTACGTGTTATTACATACTCGAAACAAATGCGCGATATAGATTTCAAATCACATTTTTTTTATTACATCAGAAAAGAAAAAACAAGTAAACGCACATGGCATATACCGATCCTTTAT